TTTCAGGTTTTATGAAATGCACCAGTTGGGTCGACGACAACGGATATATATGCGTTATCTCCAATGACATAATATCCAAAAGGCAGACTAGCTATAGCTAGGTGCAAGGGCCACTTCTTAAAGGCAACACTATCAGAGACCTTTCCAGGAGAATTGAATCAATAACCAGTGAACCTGCGTGCTGAATCACACATCGCCTGGACATTGATCCCGTGGCAGAGATAGTGTCCCGAAAAGAAGGCAGAAACGTCTGGTACTTCTCGAGTACTTGGGGCTTTTATAGTACACAACCATCCGTCCACGCATCCAACACACCCCGTTAAAATATTGATATCAGCAAACTCTGACGTTGCACGAATGGAAGCAGTGTCGAATACAGGGGCAACTATTTGATATCGCGGATGAGTACAAATCGCTTCCATAACTTCGATAATAGTAGCGTAAAACTCGGACTTGCTGACACCTGCAAGAGCACTCATAAAATGATAAGAGCCTCTTGCCAGCCACGATACAGTCGTTTGGACTTTATTCCCAGCCGATATTGGATCACCACTAGATCGATTCTTTGACTTCACTTTGTCAGGCTCAAGCACGGGCCGGATAGATTCTGCAATCTCTTCAAAACACACGACATCCATTCTGTAGTAGCGATCGAACTGTCCTTCCTCTAATAACCGATCGCGGTGTAACAATCGAACCGCTAGCGAGATACAACATTAGATCGCCTATTTAGCCGGAATGCGTTCACGACTACAACAACACAAGTGATAACAGTAGTGACCTTCATTATTCTGCCTTTGTTGTGACCCGTGATCTGAATATGACTGATGATCCCAGCTTGGGATCACAAGAGCTGTCCGGTGTTAGCATATGTATTCTTATCAGCCAATAAGATGTCTGATTGACGGATCATGCTTCGAAGATAATCCCGTTAGGAACCAAAGAACTTAGGCATCTCTGCTGCTATTTTTCCTTCAACAATAACCGTCACTTTAGGCATGTCGCTCGTAAGCGTTTCAGAGCATATTTCCGACAGATTTGTGTATCTATCAAACAATTATATATATATATATATATATGAGACCCCGTGAAACAAAAAGTTGCTTATCTACATTTTGCTCTTTTCGAGAAAACGGCCTTTAAAGTCAGACCATCCAATTTCGTACTTATGTGAAGTTTCGAGAAATCGACGTTTTTCGTTTTGCCAGAATAAAACCAGTAGCTGCAAGCGTGGCGTCATGGAGGATGGACAGGGTGAGGCATCTCCTCCGGTTCCACCAGCAGAAGGCACACAAGACTCTCCTTCCTCTGACGAAGAATCTGCCTCGAAATACATCGACAGCTCCGATAGCAACTGGTCAGGAGGCTCTGTTGTCGACTCGATCACGATAGATGATGACTGCACAGTCCAAGGACACTAAGCGCGCTCGGTTAAAACGCCGCGCGGACATGGCTGCAGAGGCGAAACGCATCCAAGAAGAGCGCGTGGATGCCCCATCCTTCGTAGATCAGTTCCAGGGAGCTATGGAAGATATTGAAGAAGCGAGGAACTCAGAGGCTCAACGAAAAAAAGCCGTGGTTTTAAGACGAAGAAGAAGGCGCGGAAAGCTTCATCTAAGTGAGTTTCATTCAGCAGCACAGTGTTAAAACAAAATGTTACTTAGGTTGACGAACAATTAAAAATGTTACTTATCGCAGAACTCCGAGACAAAAGTGTCGATTTTGAAGCGTCCAGATCAGCCGTAAAAACCAGCTTTTGACACCAGCAGACTCATACAGCAAAAAGCATAAAAAACCAAAAAAATATTTTGCATTTTTAAATTAGGATAGAGATATTGTTTTCAGCAAAGCCATTGCGAAAAGTTTTATTAGACACCTAGGGTCGAACAAAGGCTTAAAATGACCGCAAGCCATTGGTCTTTCATGTAGTGGTCTCCGTTTCAAAAGTAATTAAATGTAGATAAGCAACTTTTTGTTTCACGGGGTCTCATTTCGTATCTTACTGCCTCGTTCTCTTTTGCTCGCAGAAAGAGCACGACAGGTTACCGAAAATATCCAGTCAAGCCAACCGAATCGGTTTGTGCGTTTTTGCTGATCCACGGCAAAAGTGTCTCAGTCCTGCCTGGGCCGGCAGCCACCATTTCCATCTCAAACTTGGGGTGCTTTAGTCTAATATACTGGTTTAGGTTCGTAGTTCCTCTTTTGTCGGCTTGTTTTGTGAAGTGTAGCACACACCTTGGACTTGTAATAACCCGTCGGTTCCTCGTTGTTATCCAGGCACGGAGAAAAGAAGAAAAGCGCTATTTGTTT